TGAGGCCAGGCCGGCGGCGGGGGTGCCCGGGCAGGCGCTTTGGCGATCTCTCCCGGCCGCCCCTTTCCTGCTCGCCTCCTTACCCTCGGCCCGGAGCTACAGCTCGGCGGCGCGGTGGAGATTCCTGGGCCCGGAGCCTGGAGCTCAAGGGGCAGACTTCCTGTTTGCCTTTCCAGCGAGGGGCCCCCAGCAGCCCGCGGCCTGGCTTCCTGCTCCGGGAGGCTCTCTTCCCAGCCCCCTCCCACAGCCCTGGCCTCTCTCCCCTCCTCCCTCCCACCTCTAGCCGCCAGGTCCGCGACAGACCGCCAGGCTTGGCCCTAAGTGGTAGAGGCGCCTGCAGCTGCCAATCCCAAAAATATTCTCTGATGACACAGCTGGAGGACAGGAGCCCAGTCTGGCTCCTCCAAGCTAAGTTTAGAGCAGGCGGGGACCACCTGCCCCCCAGCAGAGCCCCAGTTCTAGCCCCAGCCCATCCCCCACTCTTTCCCGGCAGCTGTTTGATTGAAAGGGGCCCCAGGAGGACTGAGGGGGCTGATGCATTCTGTCTACGGACAAATGGCACTTTCAGAAGCCGGTCAACCTCAGCTGCCACGCTCTTGTCCCACCTGATGTCACTTCTGTGTTGGGTGCTGGTATGTGAGGCACTGTGTGTATGTGTGTGCATGCACACGCACGCTGTGTGTAGGAAAAGGCACATGCTTGTATGTGTGGACAGGTCACTTGGGGTGAAAGCCCTCCTCACCCCGTTCCCCCACATTCTTGGCGGGAGTGGGAGATAAGGCTCAGGGCCACAGACATCTGCGTCAGAGATAGGAAGTCTCAATGCCATGTGTAGGGGCAACTGAGACTGCAGGGCGTGGGAAGGACTGGGGAAGACCCGGGTGAGAAGAGTAGAAGAGGGCAGGTGGTGGAATGGGGAGGAGACAGTGGGGAGGCTCTGGGCAGACCCTGGAAGAAGGGGCACAGGGCAGGGTGTGGGTTCCCTGTTGGCAAGACCAGGTGAGCTATGGTGAACCAGCTGCCCCTGCTACTTCTTTTGCTGTTGGCCCCACAGGAGGGTCATGGCTGCCATGGAATGGAGCTGGACCGGGAGCTTGTCTTAGCCAAAGTGAAGGCCCTATTCCTGGATGCCTTGGGTCCCCCGACAGTGACTGGGGAAGGTGAGGTTCCTGGAATCAGAAGGCTGCCCCGAAGACACACCACAGGTGACTTCATCCGCAGGGGCTCCAAACCAGAGGAAGAAGACGTCTCCCAGGCCATCCTTTTCCCAGCCACAGGTAATGAGGGTGGGGAACAGGCAGAGTGACTTTGAGAAGCAGCCTGGAGTTTGAATCCTAGTCCTGCCCCTTGGCTGGCTTCACAACAATGGGCCAGTTACTAAACCTCCCTGAGCCTCTGTGTCTCATCTTTCAAATGAGTGGTCCCACTTTCCTCAGGACTTAGGGAAGCCTGTACCAGAGTGACTGGCACATGGAAGGCTTTTGGGAGACCAAGTCTCCAAAGACAGAGCTGTCTGGGCCTCTGTTCCTTACTTCAAGCCCTATAGGTGAAATGTGAGAAGCTGTCAAGAATGCTGGAAAATGCTGAGTTGGGAAACACATATCTTGAGTTCCTGTCTTACCTCCTTACATGTTTCACTGTGTTCCAGTGACTGAATGAATAAAGCCTTCCTCTGGATGGGCTTTCTCATCTGGCACACCTTTCTCTTAGCAGTGACTCCCTGCCTCCCTTGCTTCGACCCCTGTGCAGCATATTGAGGAAAAGTATGGCTTTGGGACACTTAGCAGTTGAATGTCATCCTTTTTTTTTTTTCGGTACCAGCAATTGAACTCAGGACCTTGCACTTGCAATGCAGGCGGCGGCACCTATGAGCTAAATCCCCAGTCCTGTCATCCTTTTAAGCCTTGGTTGCTTATCTGCAAAATGAATTGGTTGTTATGAATTTAAAAGGAGATAATGTGTGATGATGTGTGATAATGTAGCCCCAGTTGCCAGTCCTTTCATTTAGGCTGGCCCGTGGTTATTTAGTGCAGTCCACACAGATGTCAGGGCAAAGAGGCCAACTGCACTTTCTTGGGAAGGACTATGCTTTATTCTGAATTATAGCCTTCCTCCTCCTCCTTTTCTTCCCCTCCTTCTCCTTCTTTTTCTCCTGCTTTTTGGTGTGTTTTAAGCTGCCCTTTAAAATGGAATTATGTTAAAAGAATTTATCATATACTATTTCTGATATGCCAAAAGATATGAGCAATATAACACCCCTGCACACAGCATTCAAAATACCACTTCACACTATCTGATGAACAAAAATTTAACAAAGTGTTGGTGAAGGTAGAGAGTGACTCTTACACATCGCTATTTGGAATATTAATCAGTAAAACTGCTTCAGAGAGACGTTGGCAACATTTTGTAATTTTTAGGTGCTTTAATGTTGAGACTGAAAAAAAGGGGGAGCCTATGTCAGCTCCCCTAAGAGTTGGGAGAGTCCCCAGAGCTGTGGGGACCTCATTAGCACTCGGTGAGTGGCAGCCACATTCCTACTATTGAGGTGGGTGGTTTTGGGTCCTGCAAGTCAGCACTGCCCTTTCCCTTCCCTTCTGTCCCCTGCAGGTGCCACCTGTGAGGACGAGGCAGCTACTGGAGTGGTGGCCCCAGAAGCTTCAGAGGGTCTCTTCACATATGTGTTCCGGCCATCCCAGCATACACGCAGCCACCAGGTCATTTCAGCCCAGCTGTGGTTCCACACGGGGCTGGACAGGAAGGTCTCAGCCGCCTCCAATAGCTCAAGGCCCCTGCTAGACCTGCTGGTGCTGTCATCTGGGGGTCCAGTGGCCGTGCCTATGTCCTTGGGCCAGGCTCCCCCTCGCTGGGCAGTGTTGCGGCTAGCCACCTCTGCTCTCCCACTGCTGACCCACCCTGTCCTGGTGCTATTGCTGCGCTGTCCTCTGTGTTCCTGCTCCGCCCGGCCTGAGACCACACCCTTCCTTGTGGCCCACACTCGGGCCAGACCACCCACTGGAGGGGAGAGAGCCCGGCGCTCAACTCCCCCGATGCCCTGGCCTTGGTCTCCCGCTGCTCTGCGCCTGCTGCAGAGGCCTCCAGAGGAGCCCACTGTCCACGCCTACTGCCACAGAGCTGCACTCAACATCTCCTTCCAGGAGCTGGGCTGGGACCGGTGGATCGTGCACCCTCCCAGTTTCATCTTCCACTACTGCCATGGTGGCTGCGGGTTGCCCACTCCACCCGACCTGCTCCAGCCAGTTCCTGGAGTCCCCCCTACCTCTGTCCAGCCCCTTACTCTGGTGCCAGGGGCCCAGCCCTGCTGTGCTGCCCTCCTGGGCACCATGAGGCCCCTACATGTCCGTACTACCTCAGATGGGGGCTACTCTTTCAAGTATGAAACGGTGCCCAACCTTCTCACACAACACTGTGCTTGCATCTAAAAGGGTCCCGCTTCCTTATCTCATGGCTGGTGGCCAAGCACCCATCATTGTCAGCTAGGGGGAAGGAAGAGTGTGGAAAATTAGTGGTTCCTACTCCTTCTTTGACTTCTCTGCCTGAGGGCTCCCCTCCCCATACCACTCCTGTCCCATGGGTAACAGACAATAAAGAACTCGGTGCATACAACTTGGCATTCATTCTCAGGCTTCTCTGATATGGTGTTTCAAAGATTTGGGGCCTTGGAAACAATGGGATTGTGAGATTTCAGGTTACTCAGAGGTTAGGTTACTGCACTTGACCTCAGAGATCTGGGGTCCCAGAGCAGGAATTGGGTATGTATTTGTTGGGAAATTGCAAATGTGTCTCTGGCTCCTTGGACAGCTCTCTGGAGACGAAATTGGCCTCCTGCAAGGAGACCCTGACATGTCAATCAAGCTCTCCACCCTGCCCTGCACACAAAAAATTACTGCACTCAATGCCACTATTCAAGGTAGCCCCGAGCCCCCTCTCCTGCCATCCTCTGCCGTTGCAGGTGGACACCTAGTTCAAGAACCGGAGATGCTGAGCCTGGCTAGAGCCTGCATTCTTTGGAGCCCCACTGAAACAAGTATTCAGAACTGGTCGATTACTGTTTTGGGGTCCCTTGGGAGTCTGGGTGAGAAGAAAGAGGGAGGTGTGTGAACTGGTAGTGTAAGAAAGAAATTGACAAGGCCAGAAAGGTGGTATCTTGTTAAGGTCAGATCATCAGAATGAAGATCTGGAATTTGTTTGCCGAGGGTCCTGGACTATTTTGAATCTATCACTGTTTCTTGAAGTAGATTCTATGAGGCCCCACTGAACTGGGACTCTGGCTCTTGAGATCTTTGGCTCCTTTGATGTCCCTGTGTATCTTTATACAGCCCCTTAACTGGGTACTTAACATCAGAAGGGTGAAAAGACAGCCCACTGCTGGGGAAATATGTGGTCTTTAGTGAATTCACTCTGTGCACATCGGGAGTGCAGGGCGTGGGGCCAAGCAGTCTTTTTCTTTTCTCATTTGTCCTTTCTGCCCTCAGAATTGGGCACCAGGAAGCCACCTTTTCCGCCCTACCTACTCCGTGTGTCATGCTCCTCATTATCCCCTCAATCTTTTCTTTCTGCCTTAGCCCATGCTCTATGGCTCTCAGCTGATTAATTCAATTCAGACCCACCTCCCCTCCCCTTTCCTCCTCTCCCCTCCCTCTCCCTCTCTTTCTTCCCACTGTGTGTGTGTGTGTCTGTGTCTGTGCAGGGACAGGGGTGGGATGTTCAATGTTCAGTCCATCATGTTGAAACATGAGAGCACTGATTGTGACTGCACAGCTCCTCCCCTTCTCCCTCTCCCTCTCCCTCTCTTTCTTTCCACTGCGTGTGTGTGTGTGTGTGTGTGTGTGTGTGTGTGTGTAGGGGCAGAGGAGGGATGTTCAATGTTCAGTCCATCATGTTGAAACACGAGAGCACTGATTGTGACTGCACAACTCCAATGTGTATTTGTTTTAGTAGAATCTCTGATTTGTTGAAGGCTCCCTCCCACCAGCCCAGCTTGTTGCGGGGTGGTGTTGAGGAAAGAATCCCAACAAGTCACACTCATGGTAATGCCCTTTGATCACTCAGCAATCCTGCAGGCACTACTGTTCCTTGAAGCACAGGGGCCCTGCAGGGAAGCAAAGTGTACACTCTTAACCAGCCCCAGGCCCTGTTCCTTTGGAGTCCTCCAGGAGGCTGCTGCTGCTAGCCTACTGGGTTGCTTCCATCCTGTCTGGAGTCTTCCAGCACCTTGTCTCTGTGCTCTGGAGGTCCTTACTTGGGCCGTGGGCTGGGAGAAGACCATTAGTGGGGAGCCAGAGAACCTTCCTCAAGGCTGCCTGGGTTCCCTTGTTCCCTGCCTGGCATCCTGGCCAGGTCTTACCTGCCCAGAGAGATCTTTCCCTGGGAACTTTAGTCTTCCTACCATGCCTAGGATCCTCAGTCTTTCTTCTGGGCCCCACTATGTCCCTGTGCTGTCCAGATGTTCCTTGTCTCAGGGAGGAGGTGGAGGAACTCTAAGGACTGGGGACCCAGGATCCTCTATTTGGTTAGTTAGATGATCGGTGTTACAAGTAAAATGTTTTCACATGTCTGGAACAAAGTGAGAAAAGTGAGTACAACCTAATAAATATTTCACAACCCCAGATTTATTTGTTTTAAAGGGCAGTTCTTTATTTTGGAGTTATTCTTTCTCTCTCTGTGTGTTATTTCTTTATGATATTATGGAGATGGTAGAAAGTAGGAGATTTTTTTCAGTGTTTACTTAACAAATTACAACTCAGCAATTCTAGTTTGTACCCTGAGATTTTTCTTTGGAATTTCACTGCTGTATAAAATTTGAAAAATCCGAAAGACAGAAGTCATGAGTCTGGGCCACCCCTTTAAGAATCTCTGAGTCCCTACATTCTGCTAACTTAGTAAATCAGAAAAACAATGTCTGTCCCTCCCTTAGAGGATGCCAATGGTGATAAAGAACATATTTCCGTCTGTGCTTCTAACCATGAATCAATGCAAGAGCAATGAACTTCATCTATGGTCTTTATTCCCAGTGCAATTATTAGGAACACTCAGTAAATACTCTTAATCAGAATGAATTTAGAGCCTGGGATTTAGCTTAGTGGTTCCACCTCCTGCCTTGCAAGTGCAAGGTCCCAAGTTCGACCCCCAGTACCCTACCCCAAAACCCCCACAAAACAAAACAAACTTAAACAGAAAGCTCAAACTGGCTTAGACAATCAGTTAATTATTAATTAATTAATAAGTAGCTCTTTTTTTGGGGTATCAGGAATCGAACTCAGGTCCCTGCACTTACAAGGCATGTGGTAGAACCACTGAGCTAAATCCCCAGCCCCAATAAGTAGCTCTTTGGGTCTTGACAAGTCCACAAGCATACCTGGTTCTGGTGTGTCCTGATTCTAGGCTCAGAAGTTGTTACCAGGATCTGTCTATAGGCTCTACTTTCCCTGGGGTGGCTCCATCCAAGGTCCATGGTATCTCTGATTAGCTTGACTCCCATCATCACAACGTTTGGTTCAGAAGGAGAGAGATGGCTTATAAAATTACTTAGGGTGGGTCTTGATGTCCTGATGAAAGTCATGTGCTTCTTCAGAAAAGGTGGCTTGAGGAATGGAATGGGCTAATGACTTAGCCAAGATCATGAGTCCTACTCTGGGAGCCAGGAGCCTAAGACACTGAATTGGTCAGTTTTATATCACTATAATGACAGAACAGCTGACATTTAACACTTGCCTTACAGTGTTGGAGATTCAAAGTTGAAGAATGGGTAGGCCCACTTTGGCCTCTGGCAAGGTGGGGGGGTGGCACATCCTGGCAGGAGCACCCAAAGAAACAAATGCTTGTATCTTGAGCTACAGTAGAGAGAAAGTAAAAGACTGGGGTCCCACAGTGGCCTTTGAGGGCACAGCCTCCATGACCCAAGCACTTCCCACTGTGCCCCACTCTGAAAGGTCCACAGTGCTTCCAAATCCACCACACTGGGGACAAACTTTTAGATATGGACTTTGGGTGGGACACCCAACACCCAAACCCAAGCAAGTACAAGGGATAAAGGTAAAAAAAGGTGATATCCTCAAAGCAGGGGGCAGCTGCCACAAAAAGGTGAGGTGCAGCAAGTACTGTTGGTTCCTTCTCCTAAATCTCTCAAATTAAGCACATTATTTCTTCATAGACCACACTGGGGACAAACTTTTAGATATGGACTTTGGGTGGGACACCCAACACCCAAACCCAAGCAAGTACAAGGGATAAAGGTAAAAAAAGGTGATATCCTCAAAGCAGGGGGCAGCTGCCACAAAAAGGTGAGGTGCAGCAAGTACTGTTGGTTCCTTCTCCTAAATCTCTCAAATTAAGCACATTATTTCTTCATAGACCCTATTTTTTTTTGTGTGTGTGTGGGGTTTTTT